AAGTTATATATGTCGCAAGCTGAAAACCGAAATCGATATTCCCAGAAATATACTAGACGTCAGCCACAACACCCGTAGGTTATTTAAAAAAATATAGCTAAAAATGAATATTATTTACTTATTACGCAAAATGAAATACACTATATTTTGCTTTAGAAATTATCAAAGCCTCCAGTTTAATCGTCTCCAAGGGAGCCTGTAATTTCCAACGACTTCAAAAAGGAGGCGGTAGGTACTCAATTCGACTGTGTATGTTTTTATGTGTGTTACTTCATAACTTTTTTCTGGGTGAACCGATTTCAACGATTCTTTTTTTATTTGAAAGCAGGTGCTTCTCATATGGTCCCATATAAATTTGATCAAGGTTTGACCAATAGTTTTTGAGTTATCCATAATAATATATATTGAAGTCGGTTGTAGAAAATTTTTAATTTTAAATTATTAAATCTCGTCCCGACTTTAAAGAATACAGTAGTAAGGTAATGTCTGCTGCAAGGGATTTAAGGTCGAGGGCCAGTCCAATATGGCCACCTTATTGTTTTTATAAACCCATTGCTGTAAATAAACCATTCTAAGAATGCGCTAAATGACGTTCATTTCTTTAAAAAGTTATCATACTACTGATTCCGATTAATACAAGATACAAAAAATTATGTTAAGAACATTGTGGTAGCCCTTTCTACGCGCCATAAGCGAATCGCACCGAAGCCTAAATCGCGCTATCAAAGTTCCGAAGTACTGCGGTATATATATAACAATTACCACTTAGTAAGTTAAGAAGATATAGCATTAATTACTTCGTCATATTGTAATAATTTCTTTTTATTTATTTCGTTTTAATTTGAAAGTTAATGAAGTGTCATCAGAAAATAATAATATATTATGGTTATCCCCTACTATGTAAAGCAAGTCATTATATATACAAGAAACAGAAAGGGGCTGAGAATTGAGCCTTGAGTCACCCCCATTTGTACTATCGACCCGGAAGACTATACTATTAATGACAACTTTTTGCGTTCTGTTACATAAATAAGAAACAATTAATTTAAGAGCATTACTTCTTACACCGTAGTGTTGTAGTTTCCTGATTAATGTTTCATGGTGGACACAATTGAAGGCTTTAGACAGGTCATAGAATATACCCAAAGCATCCTGTGAATTCTCCAATGCATTGAAAATGTATTTAATCAGCTCAACACCAGCATCAGTTGTTGAGCGACCCCTTGTGAAACCGAATTGATTTTTATGTAGTAAATTATTTACATTAAAAAAAAATTGAGTAAGAATAATTTTTTCAAAAATTTTACGAAGTGTTGGGAGTACAGAAATTGATCTAAAATTCGTGGCGTCTCATGTACTACCAGATTTAAATAAAGGTTATATTACCTTACTATGCTTCATTAAATCAGGAAACACGCCATATTCGATACTAGTATTAAAAATAATAGCCAGTTGAGGTGCGATTATATCTATTACTAGCTGTTCCCCGCGACTTCGCCCACGTGTTATTTGGGGTTTTGATTTTTTTGCGTGGAACCATAATTATTTTTTCTAAAATAAAAGTAGCCTAAGTTACTCCATTTGACATCAGCTATTTGCCAGTGAAAATCTCATCAAAATCGGTCAAGCCATTTCAGAGATAAGCCGGAACAAACAGACAGACAGACAGACGGACAGACAAACAGACAGACAAAAACTTTAAAAATTGCATCTTTGTTATCAGTACCGTATATACTTTCATTTTGCATTTAGAAAAAAGCTGTAATTTTGACATTACAAACAGACACTCCAATTTTATATATTTGTATTAGTACAGATCTGCAGTTTTTTTTAATATCAATAGTTTTATAATATTTTTTGATGATGTTTTATGAACTATAATAAATCATATTTTTATATACGTGATAGAGCCATGCTGCAGCTATATTACTGGTATAGTTGTAGCACAAATGGGTCGGCTCGATCGGGGAAGGACCACGCTCTCACAGAATACCAGCGTAAAATAGCAGCTTAATGCTGCTGTGTTTCGTATGGTAAGTGTAGAGAACCGGATACCTTTTTTTACTGGAAACGAGGCATTCCATCTTAGTCCTCACGGCTGACAACGCATCTGCATTGTAATTCGCAAACGAAGATAGATGTAGATGTCTATGGGCCGCAGCAACCACTTACCATCAGGTGGACTGTGAGCTCGTTTGTCACCATTATTCTATAAAAAAAAGAAGAAATGTAAAATTCTTTGTACACGCATTTATTTACATTTTGTTTAAGTAATGATTCGGCGTCTGCAGGAGAAGAATTCAGTGACTTAGTAGTTAAGATCGGAATATCAGTAAAATATTTCTCAAAAACTATTGCCACGTCCTGATCTGATTCAGTTAATTTGTTGTTAAAACTTAACCGGTAGTTTGAATTGCGATAGTTGACCTTACCAGTTCCACTATTAATTACAACTCCACGTCATTTTAATTTTATCAGAAACCGTGTTAATTTTGTTGCTCAAATGCAACGACATGTGGAGCATATTCCTTTGAATATTTTTGAATATTTTTTACATATTCCCTAAATTCGACGCTAGGATTATGACCTTTTAAGGTAAAGTTCATATAACCTTTGTCTGTTTTATGGACTCCTACTGTCACTCCTACATTCACTGAATGCCTTCAGACTCCAAGGAGAATGTTTTAGAAGTAAAAATATTATCAAATTCATTGCAAATAAGACTAATAAACAATGTTCCATACAAAAAAATTGGATTATTTGGTATCAATGCGATGGAAGTTTCTTCACTATGTTACTTCTAAACTTCTCCAAGCGACGTGCATTTATTACAGTACATTTACAACATAAGGTAATGAAACTAACTGTCCACAGTGATCAGATTGTGACAGTGATTGTATACCCTTTTTATCCAATCTTTGTTTAATAGTTATTTAAACTTGGCGGAAGTCAGATTTTGTATATTTCCTGAAATTTTGTCGTAAAGAGAGCGCCTTATATCGATCAGGCGACTGTAGTTATGATTAAAATGTAAAATTATAGGCATTTAGATATGGCGCCGCCGAGGATTGAACCCGGTGCTACGAAATTTAAAGTAGTTATAGCGTTAAACAGTGGTTGGCGTTTGAAAAATTGCGCCAAATCTTACATGTAGTTGCGTGTAATAGAACCCACTACCCCATACATTCGACGTTCACTTCCATTCATCGTTCAGTTACACTGTCAGGGGCTAAACGCTCGCTGTGAACACATATGATACCACTTAGAGACCTTCAGGAAAAGAGCCTATTCATTTTAAAAGGCCGGCAAAGCATCTTCAATTCCTCTGGTGTTGCAGTTGTTCGTGGGCGGCGGTAGTCACTTACCATCAGGTGAGCCGCATGCTCGTTTGCCCCCTCTCCTATAAAAAAAAAAACAGTCTTGCTGTACTTCACAGTATGCGAGCAACTCAACATAATAAATAAAACATGCGTGAGTGTCGTTGAACACGCGGTTGGAATTAAATCCCTTTGGTAATATAATTTATTTATTTATTTATTTATTTAGACTTACCAACTAAGTACATATGAAAACATTTCGGCTACATTTTGTATAACATTATATATATGTACTTAAATTATAGGTGAGTACAACATTTTAACATTAACGCAATTACTTTATTTAAAACAATACTAAAAATTATGTGTGAGATTTAAGTTAAGATTTAAGAAAAGGCATATTTTTTAAGTAAAATATAGAATAAAGTTACATTAAGTATGGCTATTTAATTTTATTATCATTTAGGATGAAAGTTTATATCGAGTTACTCGATGTGCTTTAATTATTATTGATTAACGTATTATATTATTGATTAACAAATACAAATAATTAAACTACTAGCGTTTATTAAAATGAAACGTTACGATATTTCAACGTATTTCTTACGATATTTTTTCTAATAGATGATATTCTTTCATGGCAACATAAGAAAAAGTGCGAGGGAGATGGATACTATTCTATCTCCCTCGCACTGTAGAAATGGGATCGTGACGAACAAATCTTACACTTTTTCTCGCCCCCATCCGTCAAAATTCATACCGCGCGATAAAGAACTTCATTTCAAAAACTGCAAATAATCCCTCTATGAGGTATATGGGGGAGGCCTATGTTCAAAATTACACTTTTGAGAGGCTGTAATTGTATGGTACTTAGTTATTAATGACATTGTTATCTACCCAATTGAATACGAGACAAACATTCGAGATTTTTTGCGGGTAGTTCTTTATTAGCTAATGTAACTGCTTCGTCCTAATTTTATAGTACTTTGCAATACTGTGTCACCTATAAGGGTGCACACATCAGTCCCTAGATTTAGCCTACTTTCAATATTATAATGTGTGCGCTGCTGATGTCCTATAAATAAATAGATTTACCCGAGGTATAATTTTGTATGAGGGCTTTTTTGTAGTAAGGCATACAAGCCTTACTACAAAATTTTAAACCCTAGTTTTTTATCAGCATCGATAATTAATTGATAATTTTGAGTGGTAATTTACCATGTGACCAAAAACATCGTTCAAAAATCGATACGTGTGTATGTGTATGTGTAATTAAAAATATTTCCCGCTATAACTCAGGATATCCGCAGTAGAACCAGAGTAACCGACATAGCCCACAGGATTAGTAAGGTGAAGTGGCAATCGGCCGGACATATAGCTCGAAGAACCGACAACCGATGGGGAAGAAAGGCTCTCGAGTGTTAGCCTCGTACAACTAAGCGAAATGTAAGGCGGCGCTCCACTAGATGGAGCGACGACCTGGTAACACTTGCAGGAAGTCGATGGATGCAGGTCGCTCAGGACCGTGCTTGCTGGCATTCCTTGGGGGAGGCCTATGTTTAGCAGTGGACTTGTAAAGGGCTGTAATGATAATTATGCAACATCTGACGGTACACCATTAGATTGGCCTTTATACGCCGTTATTTTCAATTTTATTAAAGGCGGTGTGATCTTCCATTTCAGGGTCTAAACTCGTCTAATGACGCAACTTCGGCGCTGAGGCCGCTCGAGATCGTTGCCCCCCGCATTGACACGTACCGCTTCTCGATGGCCAACCTGGAGGAGACGCAAGATGCAGATCTTGACGCAATACTCGGAGAACTCTGTGCTCTAGACTCCGAATATGACGAGGAACTGTCCAGGGTGTCAGCTGGTGAGTTTGTTTATTTATATTGATATGTCTAAGATATTTGAAAAATGCTCATGATGCCAGGTTATACTTACCACTGTTGTAAATAGGAAGGGCTGTGGTAAATAGAACGTCACGAGGGATTTAGGCTCACTCTCTATCTGATGTGAAGTTTCATTAAAATCGGTTCAGTCGTTCTAAAGATTAGCCCAACAGACAGACAGACAGAATTAAACAAAAATTATGTGGTTATTTGCATGCTCGTAGCATCCTAAGCTTAATACAAGCCAGTTATTTCAATATTACAAGCAAACACTTTAGTACTCTAGCAGTCTAGTATCTAGATCTAAGAGCATCCGTTCTCCCGCTTCGTTCATCGTATTGAAGAGCCAATCGACGTTTCCAATTATTCCTTTAGAACATAACTGTAATACAGCATAAATGGCTTTCGTTGATCCCTTCTAATATATTATTAAATATTTATTTAAGTCCACTCAAATGCAATTATATGTATTCGATTTCAATACTTTAACGGAAACCTCGTACTGAGGGTAGACGTATATAATAAAGAAAACGGCAGAACAATTTTTTATCTTTATCTTACACAGGCGTTAGAAAGAGATAAAACATATTATTAACCGCGATTCAAATAATGGTTATTTTATGATTTTTAACGGAGTATTACATCTTAGTGCTCAATACTACAACGCATCTGCATTTGGATTCTTTATTGAGGATAGATTTATATGTCTTGGAGCCACAGCATTCACGTACCATCTGTTGAATTGTGTGCATGTTTCTCACACTTATTCTATAAAAATAAATATCATCATTCATTCGTCAGCCTATCAAAGTCCACTGCTGAACATGGGTTTCCCCATGGATTGTCTCATATAGAGAGGAAATTTGCTATAGTTGTCTCACTTGGCCGGCTGGTTAATAACGTGGCGGATTAGAAAACACGCTAATGCCCATCTTCTGGTTTGTTTCCCTGTCGTCTGTTTCGACACCCACAGGACGTTATGCAGTAATTCTTATACAGCCACAACACGGTAAATATAGTTGTAGTATATGAACCTTAAAATTTCTTTCGCCTTTTACACGAAAAAATATTGCGTTTAAAAAATATCATTTTTTTATCTACCTTTACAGAGATATATTTTCACGTGAAACAAGTTGTTTTGGGTGTTAAATATAACTTACACCGCCGTGTAATTTCCTTCAACTTTAGTTGTATTGAGGGTAACTGATTTGTTGAACAGTTTGTAGTCATTATAATGCCCATTGTTTTCTATTATACCCTCAAACACAATACGCCTGTTCCGGAAATAAATGAATAGATCTTCTTACCGAGAAACACCTATTTCCCTGTTAAATGTCTAACAAAAGATAAAAGTGTTTTGGCGGTAATTTAAATAAATAAATATAAACTTATTGTATATCATAAAAACATTCAGAAAAAAATTAAGAAAGTGTATTAAATATGTTGTAGAATGGGCGACCTTATTGCTAAAAGCGATCTATTCCAAAGCAAATTTTGTATGAACAGAAATTTAAAATAATTTGTAAAATCCGAAAGTGCACACCTCGAACGTTCGTGTAATGTTTTGAATAATCAATTTACTTTTATTAATTACCGAAACACGTATTTCGTTAAAAGCTACAAAAAATTGTTTCTGCTTAATTAACACGAAATTTTTTTGACTGCTTGATACCGGTGGTTCGTATTCTGTTACCGAAAAAAAAAATGTCAAACAATTAATAGTTTTTTTTTTTATTAATGAACAGGACTGTTTACAATAATGAAATACAAAAGGCTTCCTAAGAACTTAAATGCAAAGCTAATAAAAAAAATCAGTGATGAGTTCAGTTTTTCGAAAGATATCTTATTCACATGCCTACCGACCAACTGACGTCCAAGTGAAATTATTTTCAATTAACTTTTTTTTTAATAATAATCGAAATAAATAATCTTGTAACTACTTATGTACGTCAGAAGTATTAATTGAAATCCCCTCGTGCTATTGGTGTACTTAGTGACAACAGAGCACTGCATCCCCGCTTCGTGTTAGATGTGTGCAATATGCAGTGTAGGTGTACGTTAAAAATAGTTTATTTTATATAATGAGATAAAACAATAAAGTACATACATATGAGTGTTAAATAATATACATGTATGATCCACAGCAGTGGTTCCCTAACTTATTTCGGACGCGCCCTCTTTCTACTAAAAAAAAAATTATCAGCGCCCGCAACTTGCTCAGATAATTTTAGATTACTATCAGGCTAGAAAAAAAAAATAGTTGCGTTCAATAACATCAAATTTTTAATGCTAAAAAGATACATAATATCATACAAAAACTACTTAATTATATAATACCTACTTCTTATTTAATCGAATATAAATGAATGAGCTTGCATGGTTTTAACGAAGTTTCCGATTCACGGCTTAACCACAGAAATCGCACAACGCAAAGCACTATCGATGTTACGAGTAAGTTTATTTCTGGACTTGGTTTTTATTGCTACAACAGCAAAAAAATCTCCTTTCGCACAAATATGTACAGGAAAGGGGTAAATACGATTGAAGTGCTTCATTGAGAAGTGCTTCCTCTGCTATTTTGGCATAAAATGTAAAATATTTGGCTAGAAAAAAATTGTTACACCAATCTTTCGGTGTACATACACTACACCCACCTACGGACGTTTCTTGCACGTAAGGTCTCTAACTACGCAGCTAGCTCGCAGCTCGTCCTTTGCAGGTCTCTGCCCCCCCCCCTCAGGTGAGCCCCCCCCCTCCCCACTTTGAAAACCCCTGGTCTACAGATTTTAAAATAAAAATCTACATAAAATACGCCATATAATACTGTAGTAGATGCATATACACAAGCAATACATCTACAAATAATATACAAAAAAATTAAGACAGTGACGACAGAGAGTGCTCAGTAACTTGTGTGGCGTCTAAGCTCTATTACATAACAATAACATAAACACTCACGCCTGTCACCCGGAGGGGTAGGCAGAGACTATGGACTTCCATTTGGCACGATCCTGACACACCTCTCTCGCTTCCTCCACATCCATATACCTACGCATACACGCTCGTCGGTTAAAGGTACTCTTGATTTGGCCCATTTTCAACATATCGCCAATTTGGTCGATAAACTTTCGCCTAGGGCGACCCTTCCCGACTCTGCCGTTCACCTCTGCAACATAAATTTGCTTTGTCACTCTTTCCTCATTCATTCTTTCAACATGACCAAACCACCGAAGCATTCCTTTCTTAATTCTGGTCACAACATCATCTTGCAAACCACTCTTCTCTTATTAAACAATTTCTCACTTTGTCATTCAGATTCATCCCTAACATACTCCTTAATGACCGCATTTCTACAGCATTTATTCTACTCTCGTGCTTCTTCTGCCACACCCAACTTTCACTACCATACATTAAAGTAGGTACTGCTGCTGTGTTAGTACCTACTTTAAGCTCTATTACTGGTATATTAAGGGAAGTTTCTTTTTTGCAATAGACTTTTCTAACATCGGAATTATTATTAATGGCTACGCTAAACTGGTAGGGTTTTAAAATATAACATAATACATAATCTTTCTATAAATGTTCAGAGATAACTTTTGTATGTAGTAGGCATCCTGCAGCTATATATATATTTTTTTATAGAATAAGGGTGACAAACAAGCGCACACTCCACCTGATGGTAAGTGGATGCTGTAGCCCAAAGACATCTACGTTAACCTCGATTAAGAATCAAAATACAGATGCGTTGTCACCCCTGAGGACTAAGATGGAATGCCTCGTTTCCAGTAAAACGAGTCTCCGGTTCTCTACACTCATCATACAAAACACAGCAGTATTAAGCTGCTATTTTACACTGGTATTCTATGAGAGCGATGTTCTACCACATCTAAACCACGTATTATGGTTGTAGCACGAATTGGTCGACACCACTGGGAAAGGACCACGCTCTTACAGAATACCAGCGTAAAATAGCTACTTAATACTGCTGTGTTTCGTATGGTGAGTGTAGAAAACCTGAGACCCTTTTTACTCGAAAGGAAGCATTCTAACTTAGTTTACAGGCATGAAAACGCATCTGCATTTTGATTTTTCATTGGGGATAAATGTAGATGTCTATAGGCCATAGCATCCATTTACCAGGTGGAATGTGTGCTCGTTTGTCACTCATATTATAAAAAAAAATAACTAGGTTTTTTGTCTCAAAATTTGTCCGTTCCACTTTATCTGATTGTGTTCCGTGGTTTTAACAGACGGGTTGGTTGTTGAGAATATCCCGTATTGATTGTACCTTTTGACGACAACGAGGCAGTGGTTTAGCAATGAGGTGATCGCTACCAAGCTATTTCTAATTTGTTTTTTGTTGCTAATTGTGTAATATACATGATTGTAAGCTGTTATTTTTTTTAAAAGTTCCACTGGGTTTCTTGCTGGTTCTTCCCAGGACAGAGTTTTTTTCCGAACAAGTGGTAATTAAAGAAAAGAGTGACTTTCAATAAGTATTATTTATAATCTATATTGAAAAAAAAATTCTGTTTGAATGATGTGCAGCGCTGAGGGCCGAGTGTTCGAATCCTGCACGGAACCGGTATAATCTATACATCTATACAAATAAATAAAATTGAAGTGTCTGTTTGTAATGTCAATATTACAGTTTTTTACTAAATACATATGAAAGTAAATACGATACCTATAACTAAAATACAATTTTTAAAATTTTTGTCTGTCTGTCTGTCTGTCTGTCTGTCTGTCTGTTTGTTCCGGGTAATCTCCGAAACGGCTGGACCGATTTTGACGGGACTTTCACTGGCAGATAGCTGATTTCATAAAGAGTAACTTAGGCTACTTTTATTTTAGAAAAAGAATCAGGGTTCCGCGCAGAAACATAAAAACCCTAACACGCGAACGAAGTCGCGGGGAGCAGCTAGTTATTAATAAGCCCGAAGCCTATTAATAATTATTCCGGTTTTAACTGTTTGCCCTTGTGCAATTTATGTATGTAAACTGCCTCCACGGTACAGGAGAAAATCCTAATATTATGTTAATGTACAACAATAACAAAGAAATAATAAACCGATTGCCTCTGACACTATATTAGATGTCTCGAACTCATAAATGTTTGATATAAGTGAAATTTAATATATTGGAAGGTGATCGATTGCTTGTGTGTATGCTAGGGAATACGAGATACGGCCGTGAATAAAATCGGTCAAGAGAATCTGTTGTATTATGTAAATCTTATTAATGTAAATTACACCTATGCTGTGACCAGAGACTCGTCAAGATCTTGTACTTACATTAAAAATCGAACTAAATATACCTTCGGTTTTTTTTATAGAATAACGGTGACAAACGAGCACACAGTCCACCTGATGGTAAGTGAATGCTGTGGCGCATAGAGATCTATATCTATAATCGATACGAATGAAGGTGCAGATGCTTTACTAACTCTAAGGACTAAGATGGGAATGCCTTGTTACCAGTAAAAAGGGTTCTAAATTTTACGAAACACAGCAGTATTATTTCGCTGTATCACGTTGGTATTCTGTGATAGCGCGGCCCTACTTTATTCGTGCTGCAGCAGCATGTATAGCTAGCATAGCTGCAGCGTCGCTCTAACACGAAATTTGATCAATGCGCAGGACAGGATTAGATTGGATTAGATTAGTGCATGAATGCGTGTACGAGCACAGGTGCACTCACTATATTACTCCTATCGCTTACTCTCATAGTCCGCTGGGACGGCAAACCGACACGACCGGTGGAGAGATCAAGCGCTATTAGTGATGGGACTCGAGTGACATTTTTTCACTCGAGTCACTCGCCAGTAACCTAGTCACTCGAGTGCCACTCGAATAAAGATAAAACTCGAGTGACTTTTTTTCAGTCGACTTTTTACTAGCCTGTCAAAAACTAAAGTTTTCACAAATCAATTAAAGCTAGATACTTTTTTGTTTCTTCTTAATAAGCGATGCATTAGGCCTTGCAAGCTGTAGTTGCTGAAAACGCCGTTTCTTTAATGTAGAATAGAATCAGCAAACTCTCTGCTTCATTAGTTGAAGAACACGCCTGAGATGAACTTGACTCACCCTTAATATTCTTATTTATTTTTGCATATTATTCTTGTACTGAATCGGATGTTTATTCTTCATATTGTGAGAAATCAAGTTGGTAGTATTCAATATAATTATTTGTAACTTCTTGCACAAGTTACAAATAACTGTTTTTGTTCTATATTTTTGTCGTAAAACGATCACACTATTGCTTTTTTGGAACTCTTACTCATTTTGAGCACGTACTAATAGCAAACAGTCTTAAGTAAACATATTACTAAATACACACAACTCACTCAAACAAATTTGTACTTAATTTCAAATGGAAGATATATCAGCTAGAAATGTTTTAACTTGAATTTCTCACTCGAGTCGGTACAGGCCACTATAGTGGACCGAGTCGTTCGTGTTGACTGGAGTCACTCGTAATCCGAGTTGTCATAAATATTACTCGAGTGCGAGTAAAATAAAAACTACTCGAGTGACTCGAGTGAAACATGGCTCGAGTCTCATCACTAAGCGCTATTACTACCACTTACTACTAACTGCTTTACGTGCTTTTCGAGGCTGCGAGTGAAATACTGCCAAATTCTTGACAACTGCTGTCCCTCGGCCCGGAATACAGTTGTGCAAGCTCTGATATTTGGTGGACAGATATATCAGTTAGTTAATTGACATGAGGGTGCTACCTAACCAGATAGAGACTCCTTGGTACAAAAGGTTACCTGGTGTTATCCCTTATTATATTTTTATAGGATAAGGTTGACAAACGAGCACACAGTCCACCTGATGGTAAGTGGTTGCTGTGGCCCATAGACATCTACATCTATCATCGATTACGAATCAATATGCAAATGCGTTATCACCGGTGAGAACTAAGATGGAATGCCTCCTTTCCAGTAAAAAGGGTCTCTGGTTCTCTACACTCACAATACGAAACACAGCGGCTTAACGCTCTATTTTACGCTGGTATTCTGTGAGAGCGTGGTGCTTCCCCGGTCCTTCCCCGGAGCCGACCCATTCGTGCTATAAATATACTGCTAATATAGCTGCAGCATGGCTCTACCACGTATGGATATATATATAGTTTATCAAACTTCTTGCTAATAGGTCCCCCTTGGATTGTCTCATATGGAGGATTTTGCCATATTTGCCACTGGCATTCGCGTTGGCAACCGCAGTTTTTTATTTTATTTGGAGTTGTTATCAGGAAGACGCTGCTGCTCATCTCCTGGTTTAGTTTCCCCCGGTCGCCTCTTACAACATCCACAAAACCAAATAGGGGGAGTGGATATACACCAGCACTGCACCCCTACATATACACTTTTTTATATAATAAGGATGACAAACGAGCACACAGTCCACCTGATTGTAAGTGGTTGCCGTGGCCCATAGACATCTACATCTATCATCGTTTGCGAATTAAAATGCAGATGCGTTGTCAGCCGTGAGGACTAAGATGGAATGCCTCTGTTCCAGTAAAAAGGGTCTCCGGTTCTCTACACTCACCATACGAAACACAGCAGTGTTAAGCTGCTATTTACGCTGGTATTCTGTGAGAGCGTGGTCCTTCCCCGGTCGAGCCGACCCATTCGTGCTACAACTACGCTATTAATATAACAGCAGCATGGCTCTACCACGTATAACGCACATATTTTCCAGTGCTTCAATGCATGATAACCCTTATTAACATTAATATTTAATATGCTAAAACAAGGTAAACTTCCACCCTTGTCATTAATAATTTAAATTTTCTCCCCTATCCAGAATACACGTCGGTGTCGAAGGAGAGGGGCGAGGGCGGCGAGGGCTGCCCTCAAAGGGCGGAGTGCAGCAAGGAGTGCAGCGAGGGCACCCCCGCTATCGCCCGTACCGATTCGCCCGACAATGACTCAGCCTTTAGCGATACTGTAAGCAACACAATCTATATAACAAATATCTGTCTGTGGTTTTGAAAGCTTTTTCTTTTATTATATTTGCTGAGCCGTTACACAGCCTATTAAAGTCCACTGCTGAAGATAAGCCACTATCATATTCTGCATTCATATATTGCCTTATATACACAGGTTGGCAACCGCACTTTTTAATATTTTAAGTTATTATCAAGAAGATGCTACTGAACATCTTCTATTTTAGTGTTTCCCTTTGTCGTCCTTACGACACCCACGTGACGATACCTGGTAGTGGATATTCTTATACCGCCACTACACGGTTAATAAATAAATGCAAATATGTGATTAATTTTTCGGAGCATGCTTTATTTATTTAATTCATTAAATTGTAATGATAATAATAGCTTAGTATACAAGTAAAGATATTGCACTCCAATCATCGTGGTCGAATGTAAGCTCTTTATTAATAACTAATAACATCATTATATTATGTACTACATTCTTGCAATAAATAAAACTAAATTGAAAATAAAGTTTAGAGCTCAGAGATGGGGTGTTTGGTTTAATTTTGTTTGAACGTAAACAAATCGCGTGGGAGCACGGCGCGGATCGCACCACTCAAGTTGTTAATTACATCTTCAAATGTAAATTACCACGCCCTCGGCTGTAAAGGAAAACAATAACATTAAATAGATTTAATATATTCTTTTTTTTTTTTAAGTTTATTTTATAGAATAAGGGTGACAAACGAGCACACAGTCCACCTGATGGTAAATAGATGCTGCGGTCCATAGACATCTACATCTATCCTCGATTACGAATCAAAATGCAGATGCGTTGTCACCCGTGAGAACCGTCCGCGTTGCTTGATATATTAACAAAGAAAACACACATCACTGAACACGTAGTGCTAATAAAAAATCATTGTTTCTTAAAACTTTAATGACTTTATATTAAATGACCAAGTGTATAAGAAATAGAACTTAGAAAACCCAGTTGAAATCTATATTGTGCTACAACTATAGTATAGCTGCAGCATGGCTCTACCACGAATAAAATTCGCCTACATTCGATCACGTAATAATTCATTCATTCATAATCAAATTCTACTGCTGAACATAGGCCTCCCTGTAGATTGCCTTATAAGGAAAATATTTGCCTTAGTTAAGACACTTGGCAGGCGCTTTGACAACCGTATTTTTGTATTTCTTAGTTTTTATTAGGAAGACGCTGCTGCCCATCTCCAGGTTTGTTTTCCTCTGACTCTTCCAAGGAACGATATGGGGTAGTGGATATTTATACACCGGCATTACATAATCATAATCGAATTATGTAATGTCAAGTTTAAATAAAAGTAAAAGCATACGCACTCGGGGTCCAATGCCGGGCGGAGGTACATTCCCAGAGAGTTATGGCGGAACGAGTACATGCTCTGGTGTTTGCGAACTATTATGTCCTTACAATATTGATAATTCCTCAAGATATTTTCCTTCACCTTTGAACTCAATAAAAGGCAGTTATTTCGATAATATAGACGGACACTTAAAATATATCTTGTATATAATATAATGTACAGATATATTATACATACATACATACATATAATCACACCTCTTTCCCGTAGGGGTAGGCAGAGACCACTTCTTTCCACTTGCTACGATCCTTACATACTTGTTTTGCTTCGTCCACTTTCATTATTCCCTTCATACATGCTCTACGGTTTAGGGTACTCTTGAGCTGGCCTTTTTTCAAGACGTCACTGATTTGGTCTAGAAATGTCCGCCCTTCCAACACTTTCATTCACACTCGCCTTATACACTTTTTTCGTCAATCGTTCTTCATTCATTCTCTCGACATGGCCAAACCATCTCAGCATACCTTTCTCAATTTTTGTCACTACATCTTCTTTCAGACCACAACGTTTCCTTATCTCGCTATTTCTTATCCTGTCACTCAGTTTAACTCCTATCATACTTCTTAACGCTCTCATCTCAACTGCATTTATTCTGCTTTCATGTTTCTTCTGCCATACCCAACTTTCACTTCCGTACATGAGTGTCGGAACCAACACCCCCTCATGCAATAATGCACCCCCTATGATATACCTCCTATGAGGGGGTAGATATATTATATTAAACTATTTTAAGTCGAAAAATTTAGTTATACAAAAGCAAGTTAATGTGTGATGCTCTAAAACACTCGAAACGTCACAATTTGTTGATACAAAATAAGTTGGTACAGCCGACTCTCGTTAATTCGGAACTCTTAAAATATTACGAATTATCGAGTTGTCGAGAAAAAATTTTTGAGTTTTATAAATTTTTGAGAGAAAATAAATAAAACTTCGAATGATTATGTGTTAATCAATTATTATTTATTAACTGCTATTATTTAACAATGACAATAGTTTACAGGTACATTCGTATACATATTCATAATGTGAATTAATTAATCTTTCGAAAGAACTTTGTTATACTAGTTTGCTTTAAAGCAAATTGTGAAAAAGCGCCTTTCCTTCTGCAACTTTGAATTGTCGAGTGTTTGACGCAGACGAGTTCGAATTAAAGTTTCGTTTTGTTACGTAGCAATGATATTTTCGTTCGAATTACAAAGTGCATAAAAATGTATTGATTTAGTTCGAAATATAAAGAGATTTTATAGGGAACTCGTGATAACTTTGAATTATAGATAGGTTCGAATTATCGTAGGTTTGAATTAACGAGAGTCGACTGTATATGCGATATAATCCATAAAACTTAGTTTCAATTAGTTTTCGCATTGACATAAGAAATCATTAGGCTAACCTATTTCCCATTTAATCACATGATTTTTTTTCAGGTGTCCATGCTGTCCAGTGAATCTTCGGCGTCGAGCAGCGCTAGTGCCAAATGCAAAGCCTTGAAGTTGAACCTTCATCAAAACCAAAAGGTAACTGGGTTTTGTTAATGAACACCAAAACTTATGAACCAATAAAGACATTTGATGGTAAATGACCAACTTACGATTAGATGTAAAACACCTTGCCCCTTTTTACGTGGTAGAGCCACGCTGTAGCATGGGTCGGCTCGACCGGTGAAGGACCACGCTCTCACAGAAAACTAGAGTGAAATCGCAGGGGTGAGTCTGAGAGAACCAGAGATCCTTTTTACTGGAATCGAGGCATTCCATCTTAGTCCTCAGGGATGACAACGCCGCTACGTTGCAACGCAGGTGACAAACGAGCATGCGGCTCACCTGATGGTAAGTGACTATCGCCGCCCATGAACAACTGCAACACCAGGGGAATTGCAGATTAGTGCGTTTATTGTTATAATATATCATGTAGTTAATTACAATTTTATTTTGTTTTTTATTCTATATTGCTACACCTACGTCAAATAGTCACCACTCCATGGGTTTGTAATGTTTGAAAATTGTCTGTGATGTTTATAAATTAAAGAAAAATTATGTTCAGCATCAGGCGGACTCCTCTACTTCACAACTCTAAATAAATGCATTTATAATCTTTTATTCTCACTAGGATCATCACAGCTCACAATCAACGCATGTTGTTTGAGGTTTCTAAAATTGTAAAATTATTAGTTTGCTACACCTACGTCTAATACTCACCACTCCATGGGTTGACTGGTACAGAATATCTCAAGTCTGTTCTTTTTATTCTTTTGTATAAGGAATACAACCTTTATTGAGGAGCCTTCATTCCAGGACGCGATTTTTCAACAGAAAGCTGACAAGATCAAGCTAGCGCTGGAGCGGATGCGGGAAGCCAACGTGAAGAAACTGTTTATCAAGGCTTTCTCCACGGATGGCTCATCCAAAAGCCTCCTGGTTGACGAAAAGATGAGCTGTGGCTATGTGACCCGTCTCCTGGCTGACAAGAACCATGTTACTATGGAGCCGAAGTGGGCCATTGTCGAACATTTGCCGGATTTGCATATGGGTGAGTTATAGTTTGCAAGACATTACTTTTAAACTTTGAATGAAGTACAGTCGAATCTCGATAACTCGAATTTCATGGGAAATGCTAATTTCGAATTAATGAGTTTTCGACTTAAAAATAATTCTGATATTTGTTTCCCAAACATAAACAAACACAAGGTACACAGAAGTTCGGGGAAGTCCAACTAAGCCATTATTATATTTTAATGACTTTGACTTACGTAGTCTGCTATTTGAAATTCCAGTTATAAAGTATAAATATATACTTGTAATACCTTTTTTTCGTCTTACTAAGGATTACAATTTAACGAGGTACGAATATACGTAGTAGAGCCACGCTGCAGCTGTAATAGTAATATAGTTGTAGCATGTATGGGCGGCTCGACCGGGGACGGACCACGCTCTCACAGAATACCAGCGTAAAATGGCAGCTTAACGCTACTATTAAAGAAGATAATACTGTGTTTCGTACAGTGAGTATAGAGAACCGGAGACCCCTTTTGCTGGAAAAGAGGCATTCCATTATAGTCCTCACGGCAGGCAACGCATATGCATTTTGATTCGCAAACGGACATAGATGTAGATGTCTATGGGCCACAGCAACCACTTACCATTAGACTGTGTGCTCATTTGTCACCCTATTAAAAAAAAAATCGACATTCCACTGTATTTTTGTATTACACACCTATTTCTGTATTAGATACTCAGACCATGTAGAGGAAGACAGTATAGATATCTGTTGTTTGAAATGTGATGTTTGTAATGTTTGAAAATTGTCTGTGATGTTTGAAAATTTAAAAAAAAATATGTTCTGCATCAGGCGGATTTCTCTACTTCACAACTCTAAATAAATGCAATCATAATCATTTATTCTCACTAGGATCATCTCAGCTCACGATCAACGCATGTTGTTTGAGTTTTCTAAAACTGTAAAATTATTAGTTTGACGTGTATGTACATGTATGTATGTATAAACGTAATGGAGCTTTATAATTATCAAAATAATCACATTACCGTTTAAGAATCTTACTATAATATCATTGTCTAAATCTTAATGCACAAATCAGATTAGGAACTGTGCTGTGCTGATAATCAGTGGTAATCAGCTTACGCAGGGCGTAGGCCATTGTTAGTTGTGTTATACTTCAACGCACGTGTACGCCATGATTACTATTTTCAAAATGGAGTTTTGGTTTTGTTATTTTTTGTCTCAATTTTATTTTCAGTTAAGATTTATTAACCGTGTTCAAAAAAACGCGGTTGTATATTCGACCCGCAATTTTTTAAGTATGTTCACCGATTTCTCGGTAACAGCTGAAGTGATTCAAATTATTCTTTTTTAATTAAATAAGCTATAATTCAGGAGTGGTCCCATATAAATTTGAAGATTTCGTCCCCAAGGGTGTAAAAAAAAACTTAATATTTTAATGTAACTAGACAACATTCTAGTTATGACCTTGATTTTGTGATATTCCTTTCTACAACCCAAAGGGTAAAAATTTTGACGTTTTAAATAACGTAAAAAAAAGTGGGAGCTTTAAATCTCCCAACTACTACGTCTTAACGCCGGCTTCAGAAGAAATTAAAAATAATTTAATTTCTTGATATAGAGTCGATTTGTACTTTTTCCTTTATCTTAACGATTTTGCCATTTTTTGAATGCTTGAAACTTTAGAATCAGGTGGACTAACGATTTAAATATCTTAAATTTTCACCAATTTAACATTGTACCATTTATTTCAGAACGAATATACGAGGACCATGAATTACTGGTGGACAACCTGATGCTGTGGACTCGGGAGTCCAAGAACAGGATCCTATTTGCAGAGAGACCAGAGAAGATATCTCTGTTCCAAACACCAGAGAAGTTCCTGTTGACCGAGGATGATAGAGGTATGCTGAACAATTTATTCATGTTCAAGAATAGCTTTACCATTACAAACTATTAAAGTCCACTGCCGAACACAGGACTTCCCTATAGATTGCTTAATAGAGGGAGGGGGATATTTGCCACAGTTGCCACACTCGTCATGCGGCTTGGCAACCGCAGTTTTTTAATTTTTTGTTGTTATTAGGATTACGTGGTAGAGCCATGCTGCAGCTATATTAGTAGTATATTTGTAGCACGAATGGGTCGGCTCGACCGGGGAAGGACCACGCTCTCACAGAATACCAGCGTCAAATAGCAGCTTAACACTGCTGTGTTTCGTATGGTGAGTGTAGAGAACCGGAGACCCTTTTTAGGATAAATGTAGATGTGTATGGGCCACAGCAAAGACTTACCATCAGGTGGACTGTGTGCTCGTTTGTCACCCTATACTATAAAAAAAAAGGAAGACGCTGCTGCCCGTCTCCTGATTTGTTCCCCTCTGTCGTTTTTTACGACACCCATGGGTTGATATGGGGTGGTGGATATTCTTGCACCGCCACTACACGGTATATCTTCATTATCCCATAAAAATCTGCTGGAGGGTCTCTCCCGCAGAAGTAATTTGATACATTTAAAAAACACAACGAAATTAATTATGGTCCATACCAGTTACATGAGAATGGAATAGAATAGATTGATTTTTTATTCAAAAGTCATTCTTTATTTACCAGTGGTTCGGAAAATACCTCTGTGCGGGGAAGAACCAGCAAGAAACCAAGCGGCGCTTTTTTTTAAACATATTTCACTTACAATAATTTGGTTTATGCAATTCTTAAATGAATATTCATAGAACCAGCATGATGGCGATGACCTTATTCCCAAGAGTTATTTTCATTCATGTATTCCTTGATATTATAACCCTTTCTATACAGTTTAAAATTGTTAGTCTGAGAGTCTAGAACTAGCAATGTATGTTTTTACATAAACTTTGGCACTGGCTCTTATTTGAAACCAAGACCCCCTATGCAGTAGTCAGGTAATCTGATGATTAAGTCCAGCTCATTTCTTTCATTTTAATGGAGGCATCTATAACTTTTTCTGCCACTAGGGCGGCACCACTTAAGCTAAATTGTTAGAACATTTTAAAGTTAAATGTTTATGAAATATTAGTTATATTTGATATCAATTAGATTAAAAATAGTAAACCAGACTATGGATACACTTTTATGTAAATTAATCGAAAAGAGAGTTAAAATTTGAAAAAATTAAAGAGCAACTACTGAATCATTGTTTTGTGTATAACCAAGAAACTTTTATTTGAAACTCAACTTTTTACTTATAATGACACAAGAATCATTTTTATTTGACGTAGATTACAAGAACACTTGTTGAAAGTCATTTAAGCTTTATCGCTGGTTCCACATTCATCCAAACCTAGCGGGACTTTTTGTTGACACTGTTAAACAGATAACTTCAACTCAGTCCCAACTAGCGACATCTGGTGAGCGGTAAATTATTAGCTCTCATCAACGAGTCCATGTATTTTTCCAGGTTGGTCCAGTGAACACGACGAACACTCAAGACAGGTGATCCTAGAAGAGTTCTTTGGACAGAGTGGCGGAACCTCTTCAGTTCCCTCTGTCTCCGGACACCCCGTCCCCCAGATGGAAGGCCCCCTTTACTTAAAGAGCGACACAAAGAAAGAGTGGAAGAAATATAGATTCGTGCTTCGGCCATCCGGTTAGTAGAAAGCTTGCGAAATAATTATTAACTATGTTATTGTATAGCTTACTTGATGAGGGTAGTTTAAAATTATTTAAATATTATTATTAACTACTGGGTTCCTCGGGATGACACTCGTGTAGAATATGAAAAGGAGCGGGGATAGGACTGAGCCTTGTGGGACCCCAGTCCTATATATTTCTTGATTCATTTAAATTCTACCCGTTGATAGTGAATGTGCTGAGCGAAGTGTGGCCACACAATTTACAGCTGAGCGATATTTGCGAGTTCTAGAATATTATATATATACCTACTTACAACAATGAATTATTCGTATAACATTATTGTTTTGTCCATACATTAGGACTGTACTATTCACCGAAAGATAAAGTGAAGACACTGAAGGAGTTGGTTTGCTTGGCAACTTTCGACACTAACGAGGTGTACATAGGGTTGAACTGGAAAAAGAAGTATAAGTCACCCACAGAGTACTGCTTCGCGATCAAGCATCCAAGACTGCAGCAGCCGAAGAGTGTTAAGTTCATCAAGTTCCTTTGTGCTGACGATCAGGGTACATTGGAGAGATGGCTGACTGCCATGCGGATAGCGAAGGTAAGAAGTTCTTACCATCATTTATGAAAAAAAGAAACCGTCATTTACGAGATGGAGGAAGAGACTATCATTAACGAAAGTAAGACAAATAATTTCATGGTAGAGCTACGCTGAATGAAGAATGGGTCGGCTCGACCGGGGAAGAACCACGCTCTCATCTGTGAATACCAGCATAAAATAGCAGCTGTGTTTCGTACGGTGAATGTATTACTGGAGACCCTTTTTACTGGAAACGAGGCATTTCATCTTAGTCCTCACGGGTGACAACGCATCTGCATATTGATTCTTAATCGAGAATAGATGTACATTTACGGTCTATAGACCACATCATCGACTTACCATCAGGACTGTGTGCTTGCTTGTCTTACTTTTTTTTTTAATTTTTTTTTTCAAAAATATAGAATAACACGTCTATACATAAATATGAACAATTATATTCAAGTTCATCTCTTAATGTTTTGTAGTTTTTTTTTTGTAATGTTGAGCACAAAAAAGCTCTGCTCGCGTAATTATTGATATTATTGAATAAATTAATATTTGACTACATGGGTAAAACAACTTAACATACCTTAAAATTATGATACCTCTACCGCCGGCTAATTGAGTATATGACATACGAGTATGTACATACCATTATAACCTATTATAGTCCACTGCTGAATGAGGATTGCCTCTCACGTGGGACAATTGGCATAGTTGCCACGCATGGTGGGCAAGATCGCAACCGTAGTTTTTTATTTAATTGTTATGAAAAAAAAAACGCTGCTGCCCATCTCCGAGTTTGTCTCCGAGTTGTGTCGTCTCTTACGTTACTCACGGGTCGATATGGGGTAGTGGATATTCTTACACCACCGTTCACGGTCAAAAGCTTACATACTTATGTATGAATATATGCACATGCATACATAAGTATATACTTATGTATTAGTATATATAGTAGATAATCTCTCACGCCTGGCATAGAGAGGTATAGGCAGAGACTAAATACTTATTTGGCACAATTTTGACACACCTCTTTTCATCTATGCATTCATGCTCGTTAGTTAAGGGTACTCTTTATTTGGCCCATCTTCAAAATATCGCAAATTTCACCTAAAAAACTTCCGTCAAAGTCGTCCATTGCCAAATATCACTCACTTCGGCAGCATAAATATGCTTTGTCACTCTTTCCTCATTCATTCTTTCTACGTGTCCAAACGACCGATGTATTCATTTCTTTATCCTGGTAACAACATTTTGCAAACCAAACCTTTATCTTATCACACAGCTTATACCATTCTTAATAAATCATTATACATATAATATAATTTGAATTTTCTACTTTAATTTCTTTGCATTTCATCGTGACTGTGTAATGATCCATCACAAGTCCACTGCTAAATATTGGCCTACCCGAAGGTATATCACTATGCACCGTCCAGAGCCACCTGCATCCATCAACTTCCTGCATTTCTCACAAGTTCTAATATTTTGTGTTATAATTTCTTAAAAGTGGCATTAAAAATAAAAGTCATAATTACTTATCCCTCAATAATATTAATTAAGTTTAAAATTTATGAAATTATAATAAAATGTATTTGTATAATACTGGAGGTACATTTTGAGAAATATCAAACTCTTCAAAGCTGACCCAAATATATTTTGCAGCATGGTCGGCAACTGCTAGAGAACTACCGCTCCTTAGTAGAAGAGCTGACACAAGAGGACCTGGATCATCTTGCACATGCACGTTCTTGTTCTGTAAGTATTTAAAAAAAAATTATGTATGTACGCATTATTACTCTTGTCTCTTCTTACACTTCTTTCATAGTGAGGAAATTCCGAAATCGCTTCAATAATACTGTCACCGTGGGTCTTTGAATCCCGGGTTGGACAAAATCAGTTTTGTCTTTGGGCCTCGGAAACAAGTAAAGCCGTTGGTCCTGCGCCTGATCTCTTCCGTCGCATCGTGTCGGATTATCATCACGGACTTTGAGAGTGAGGGAATAGAGAGTGTAGATGGCTAGTCTCCCTTGAGACGGATCACCGTGACCGAAATTCGGTCTAGAAGACATTATTATTATTACCTGGTAATCGTTAGCGGTCAGATTGGATTGCTGGTGTTGATATTTTACATCTGCTGGAAACGGTTTGAACTGCTTCAGTATATGGACAGCAGGATACGCTGCATCTCTCTAATATACAAGTGTGGTTGCCGACCCGCTTGTCAAGCATTTCAACTAAAGCAAATATAGTAGACACGCTTAGTGTTTAGCCTACGAGAGAATTAGCTCGAATATTATATTAATTTAGTCGTTCTTAGGCCAGCTACCGTCTAGTTTACGTATCACCTTGAGAGTTAATCAATTTTCGTTCTATAAAATGACTACCTTTAAAATGATGTAGATGGCACTATTGCAAGGCAGTTGAGTAACTTAAATAATATATTCTTTTGATTTATTACACTTTTTTTTTATAGGATCGGGAGACAAACGATCACACAGTCCACCTGATGGTAAGTGGTTACTGTGACCCATAGACATCTACATCTATCCTCAATAAAGACTCAAGATGCAGATGCGTTGTCACCCGTGAGGACTAAGATGGAATGCCTCTTTGCCAGCAAATAGGGTCTGCGGTTCTCTACACTCACCATACGAAACACAGCAGCGTTAAGCTGCTATTTTACGCTAGTTTTCTGTGAGACTACACTACTACACTAAAATTTAGGCTCTATATGTCGCAAAATAAGAATTGCGACATTTATTTGCTATTAAATTCAATTTTATCCTACACTTGTGGTTGAATTAAATAAATCATTTGCCGTAAAATATTTTTATTTTATATTTATTTGAAGGTTTCCCTTCTATCATTGTGAACTGGTAAACTGTACCCATATTTTTTTATTTAGATTATCCATAGATAATGTTACTTAAATACGTCCTTTTCTTGCACCAGATATCATCAATTCCAACGAAAACGAACGGAAGCACAACAGCAGGTGTCAACAGTCCCGCGCAGTCGGCATCTAGCAATGCCAGTGTTGCCAACTCGGACATTAGCAGCGGCAGGTTGGTGTTGCAACTTTTTTTCCCATTTAATAATAATGTTTGCATGGATGTATTTGCTGTCACATAATTTGTTATTAATTTTTAAAATCGCATATTAGCGAATTTGAATTTATCAACTATTTAATTTAATGTTAATGTGTATGTTATTGATTGCGAAAATTCTTAGTTTTGCCATGATATTGAGCGAATGTTTTTAAATTTTACTTTTAATTTGTATAGAAGTACAATCAAATATCATTGTATATATGTAGCATTGCAAAATATGTCTTGGCTTGTGTAAGATAATGATATATAAATAAGATATATAAATATTTTTATACATTTATATATCTTTAATGTAATATATCTTAAATGTTTGTGTACATTTATATATCGTTAAAACCCGCTGGGTTTCGTGCTCGTTCCTCCTAAGGCAAAGGGGGTTTCCGACCAGTGATGACAGCATAAAAATGACTTTCAAAGTAAATCCTCTTGTTTTGAGACGGTTATGAATAATAATAATACTAATAATTGGTATTTATTTGGATGATATATGATATGAAGGATAGTTTTGAATTAGTCTGCGTTGCCCCCAAGCGTGTTACTGTACTTTCCGTGTTATTTATTTTCATTTCTCACACGCTTTCTCAAGATGTTTTTCTTCACCTCTGAAAACTGGAGAAATCGGCACTTAAAATTGTAATTAACTATTTCAACGATATCAGCGGGGATCGAAAATAGGTTGCTCGCGTACTGTGAATTATTTCTCTTAAAAACGTTACCCCCACATGGATTTTCTCCCGTATCGTGGAGACGATTTACATACTTAAATTGCACAAGGACAAATATCACAGTGCGGGTTTGAAACCCGCGGCCGTCAGCGCTGTAATTCAACGCTAAGCTACTGCGTCACGAAGCCATTCTGTTTAAGTCGAGCGTTTAGCCCCTTATACAATTTATATTGAATCCAAATTATTCTATTTTAAAAGCTAAGGTACCTTTCAGGCACTCCAGAGCTTCCTCCTCGAGTTCTAGTGGATGCATGTCGGATGGAGGAACAGCCTCTGAAAGTGCATTCGACTGCGAGTTTTCTATGGGTAAGTTTTTTTTTTAAATATAGAATAAGGGTGACAAACGAGCACACAGTCCACCTGATGGTAAGTGGATACTGTGACCCATAGACATCTACATTTTTCCTCGATTAAGAATCAAAATGCAGGTGCTTTGTTACCCCTGAGGACTCAGGTGGTATGCCTCGTATCGAGTAAAAAGGGTCTCCGGTTCTCTACACTCACCATACAGTAGCTGTATTAAGCTGCTATTTTACGCTGGTATTTTGTGTTAAAGTGGTCCTTCCCCGGTCGATAGAGATATAGCCGAAGCATACTAATTCCACGTTGTTATTGTGGAAAAATGTTATTTATATCTGAACTAACGCGCGTCCGTCAATGCAGAGGTAATAAACTCGAGTCGAGTTTTCTGAAGTAAACTTATTTTCTATACGTTTACTGATTATGATAACGCACTTAACGGAAATCACAGAGTTCTTGTTACACGTTGTATAATCGTGAGATAAAGATAAATATACTATAACTGCAGGTTTAGACTCGCCTCGCGCCTCGTCCCGTACCTCGTCTTGCAGCTCACGTGTTGTTGCGAAGTAACGAGTGCCTGTTTACACTATCGCGATGCGTTCAGTTTGCGTTGAGCCAGCAACGATGCATATGTTTTGGATCCCAAATTATTCGCTCAGCGCGATAGAGTGCCAAGACCTGCAGCGTTTCTTCTTGCGACCAGTTCATTTTTAATTAGAGTTGAACGTAATCCCAACAAAACAACACAACCTGCATGGAAGGGTGCCGTAAAACAACTGAAACGAGAGCGCGAGTGTAAACACTTCGACTTGTGGTCGTGCCCAAAAAACCGGCTCCGACGCGAGCGCCGCGAGTGGCAGTTGCGAGCTGGCGTTTACGGGATATAACAATCTTGTGTTGTTGATAAAATAGCTAAAATCAAACTCTTCATCACCAGGTACAATAAAACGCAAGCCTTCGATGAAACCCAACATACCTCTGACGTGGATGACGAGGCAGCTAAAAGAGATGGCGGAGACAGATTCGACTCTTGGCGATGACGACCATGGAGACTGCGGTACGCTAACTAGGCGACCAAGACCCCGTGACGATTCTACGTTGAAGAGACATCACGCTGGTTAGTACATTTACCGACCTTGAAAAAAGGAGGTGCTATTTTTTAATTTGCCGTTACCGTTACAGCATACAAAACTCTACCGCTGAACATAGGCCTCTCCCATGGATTGCCTCATAGGAAGGATATCTGCCATAGTTGCTACGCTTGGCAACCTCATTTTTTTGTCATTATTAGGAAGACTATGTTACCCATCTCTTGTTTGATTTGCTTCTGTCGTCAAAACTTACGACACCACACGTTAGATTAATTAATCTTGACTACAGCACATCGTTCCGTGGGTATCGTAAGTTTTAACCACAGAAGCATATCAAACAGGAGATGGGTAACACAAGTCTTCCTAATAACGACTAAAAAAATGAGGTTTAATTCAATTAATTAGTGTAGGGATTAATGGTTCTATCTGAAATATTAATTAGATTAGAAAAGGATAACGATAAACCAAACTACGCATATTTCTAAAAGTAGAAAAATTAAAAAACATTACGAAAACGGCACTGAGGCATTGTTTTACTTTACACTCGTAAATACACTAGAAATCGTTTTTTTTTTAATTTGAACGTAAATTTTCTATGAAGATGACATTGTTTGACCATTTACGTAAAATATAAGTTCACCTCGTCCCAATTAGCGATGTCTTGTATGCGTAATATTATTATTTATATTAATAGTAGCTGCCGCAGAAGAAACGCTCTACGTGGTAGAGCCATGTTGCAGCTATATTATGGTTGTAGCACGAATGGGTCGGCTCGAACGGGGAAGGACCACGCTCTCACAGAATACCAGCGTAAAATAGCAGCTTAACGCTGCTGTGTTTCGTATGGTGAGTGTAGAGAACCGGAGACCCTTTTTACTGGCAAAGAGGCATTCCATCTTAGTCCTCACGGGTGACAACGCATCTGCATCTTGAGTCTTTATTGAGGATAGATGTAGATGTCTATGGGTCACAGTAACCACTTACCATCAGGTGGACTGTGTGCTCGTTTGTCACCCGATCCTATAGAAAAAAAATTGCGGAAATATTGTTTTAAATTTCACTGAAATGAAATGATAACATATAAATTTACTAAGTATATTATATAATTAAACAGATAATTTTGATGGTGCGATACGTATGCCATCTACTGTAAGTTAATTCTACTATGCCTGTAACCTTTGCGCAAGTGTAAGCAATAAGTCGACAAAGTTTTACTGCAATCTGATTAACGGTATGGCAGCGCATAAAATACAAACAATGAAATTAATTTTTATATATTAAATATTAGCCTTTTAATTAAATTACTATATCTAATATTAATAGAATTTGGCACATATAGTAACTTCTTAAAACTTTCTAGGTTAACTATTTTATAGTTTTTAAAATGATACAAATGAGATAATTTATAATTCTTATGTCCATGTGGACATGTGGAAATGTGGTGTATGTGTATGATGAAGTTCATTCGAGAATGGTTTAGATTCACAATTGGCACTGTTGTCGAGTTCCAGAAATCACGCATGACACAAAGATGGGGCGGATCACTAGTTCATTATAATATTATGTATCTTTCAACTTAAGCACCCTTTTCGTATATTATAATATTTAATACAAGCCCATTGACAGATGTAATTTGACTAACGCTTCTGTTTTTCTACACCAGCAGATTCATCTGACAACGCGGTATACAGCACAACGAGTGCCAGCCTGCACAGTTCCAGCATAAGTCCAGTGCGTCATGAACCCTCCCCTTCATTTGGCCACTACGAGAGCATTCCTCGCGATGTATACCGTTCGAGTGTGGAAACCGCCTCCTCTCTATATGGCTACTCAGCTATCTACGACAAAGTACAAAGACCAGAAGTCACCAATGTCGAGGATCTACCACCTCCACCTCCAGAAGATACGCCTGACGGCATGTTCAGCTCAACCCTCAGTCTCGACTCCTTGCCTCCACCACCCCCACCTTTAGACCCCATTGAAGACATTTGCGGGTCACAACTTAGCCTCCCCCCACCACCACCAGAGCACGCTATGGAAGCCAATTCGGGAAGAGTCCAGGACATTGTCAGTCAACTGACCGCCCAACAAATAGAACAAGCGGCGAGAGCAGGTCAATCTCGCAATTCTCGGAATCAGGAACAAACTCGCTCTTTCCCTAGACAACCCTCCTTAGATAGCGTTCATTCAGAAGCTTCTAGAACATCGTCTTTGCACTCTGATAAAAGCATTTACGGTCAAACAGCCGCCTACGGTGCTTGTCTCGTAGAATTACAATCAAAAAAACTGAGCAGTCCCTCCATACAGAAAAAGCTCGCGGAACCTGGCAAAGAGCGAACTGGGTCGATCAAGAAAGTAAACTTCGCAGACGATTTACCTACTTGTTCTGAAAAGAAGACCAAGAAGATATCTTTCAATCTTAAAGAACCTTCGCCGTCTTCACCCAGGAAGCCGCTTCCTCCAAAACGCAACGAGAGTACTCGACTGTCCTCGCCTAAGAAGTTAGCAGATTCGAACAGTAACCCTCCCAAAGAGTTTCTCAAAGATCTCCAAAGAGTAATGAGGAAAAAGTGGCAAGTGGCGCAAAAGTGTAAATTAGAGCCGGCTACGACTCCACACGAAGTACTGGGCTTCCGCGAATACCCACTCTCCGAAGACTACAAAGAGGCCAGTGTATCTATGTGGGTGCAGGAGCACTATGGCTCTGTCGAGGAACCGTTTTACGAGAATATGTATGGTAGAGAAGCACCACCGAGAGAAGAACCAAAGCCAGTGAAGAAACGTCCGCCACCAGCCCCTCCAAGAAGAAGTGACTCGACACACTTGTCTTCCCACACGCTCTCCTCTACAGTGCAACCGACTGCTTGAAGAATCACTGACTATGAGAATGAATGTTTCAGTGTTATTTAGTAACTAGATAAGGACAAAAGCTACACACCGTGAAAGAATTAGTGTATATTCTGTTAGTGGCAGTTTTCGCGTCGTGTCTTTTATTTTGCGCATTGTTCGTGTAGTGTTGAGGACCTATAGACTACTAAAATCTATGATGGAACAGCTCTCTGGACTATGAGTAATGTGAACTTGTGACCAATCGTTGGTTATATCCTGTTGGATTGCTTCGGGTCCAAACAATGGATAAGTAAGTTTGATCCTGTGTTTGTTGCGAGCGATACGCCGGTGTTTATTCAATGGTTAGTCGAATTTTAACAATGTTATAACGACAGCGGAACACAGTTCTGCGGATGTGACCAAAATCTGTAACGAGTAATGAGGACATAAATTAAACAATTTGAAAAAAAAAATCTTGAATGGCGGTGCTATTTAGGAAAGGTATATAAAGTATTAAGAGTTGCTTTTGTGAGTCCGCTTGCATTGAAATGTGTTCTTTGTTTATAATTTAGTTTCTTTTAGACTAATGTATTTTCTATTCTAACTCGTTAACTATAGCATAAATATTGGTTATTTATAAATTTTCTGAAATGGTTTGATTTTATTTAATATTATAAGGAAATTGACAAGCGGACCTGACAAAGAATGAGACAAGAGTTTATCAATTTAATATTATGTTCCTAGCTAATTATTAGCTAAGATCTGGCGAGTGACTGTGGACCGTCGCCTCTCTTAGTCTTTAAAAGTATCTCTCGCTACTAGTCTATTGCTTATTAGCTAATATGGGATTAGCATGAAACATAACGATAAGTTATGCTTACTTATGTGATGCTACAAATGAATTTACAATGAAACTGTTCATAGTTATATAAATTTGTGTTTGTTCTTCCCTTCCACTTTTGATTATAACAAGAATCTTTCGAGGTTCAATCACAATTAGCACTTGGGAAAACAAATTAATTGCATTTTTGTATTGAATTCATGATTTTATTTCTTTTTTATCATGTTACCGTCTTCAGTTTCGTTAAATTTTCACTTTCACCGTTCACCTAATTACTTTTACATTTTACACTATCTTTTCTTTGCTAATTATTCTACCGAGTGCGTCATGTCGTATGTTATGATTTGGAACGCGAAAAAACTGTGGTTAATCTGAGACTGACTTTATTTTCTACACCACATGCAAAACATAAAACACGATGCAAAACATAAATCATCTATGGAATTTTAACTTTTGGGCAACTAAGTGAGAAAGCGGTTGCGATATTATGAATATAGTTATTGTAGGCATTCAATGTAAGTAATTGTATTTGTACTGTGTTTAGTATAAAAGTAATGATGGATTGTCATTATTTGTTACATTTTATAAGATTGTTCGATTAAGAATACAGTTTTTATGCATTATATTCATTGTATAAAACGGGCTGTGCCATATTAATGTTTGTTGCAAAGTCATTCCTTACACTTATAAACTTATCATGATATTTATTTTTTATCATTGGCGGAGAGAGGCTTCGATACCTGGCATTTGAGTCCAATTTTTGAGGCATTTGTATTCTAATATGTCATTCCATCAACCTATTCCGAGGCTATAAGAAAATATTGTGGTTTATCATACAATAAATGAAAACTCGGTCAATAATATTTAGATAGGACCTAATTTAGTTCTTTGTCAAAATTAAAAAAAAATTAAATTTGCATGTAAAATAAAAATATTAAATTATTTTAAGAGAATTGAACATCATGTATGATGTTTCAGAGCGGCAATGTGGCTTCCTTCAATTTGTTTGCACAGTTTATTAATCATTGCCCAGTGTAAAATTATTTATCTACATCAATAAATGTAAAAACTACTTTTTGTGTTAGAAAAATATACGATGTATTGAATCATCGTATCATTTATTGTATGGAAGCCGACGCCACCATGTGTAGTCTTGATACATTCGTTTCTTGAATTCATAATATACTGTGTTACATCGCATCGCAGATTTTATAGATATATAACGTTATTAATGTACAATTACACCCACAGCTGAACATTTATGTAGGGTGTACGTACATCAAAGAACGATTTTTATAATCACAAGTTTTTATAATGTTTACATACATACGTTTTGACTAAAATTAGTATGAATTGAAGTAACATTCCCATACCGAAACCAGATGAAAACCGAAGTATTGAATAATGGACTACAAAATTGCAGGTTTAACAGATATATTTAACTTATAATACTAAAAATTAATGAAGTAAGGAGTAAATAATAATAAAGCTTTAGATCATTTTACACTTTCATTTCTAAGACTTTTACACGCTTTTTTCTAAAAAAAAATAGTGCCTGTTGCTTCTAAGTAGTCTGTTCACACGACTGGAAACATTCAAGTAAGTGTAAACTGTGAACAGTCTTCAGAATGTAAATGTTTGTCATTAAATTACAATTTTTATAATGCTAGCTAAGCAATCTTCTATATCAATTGAATATACTTCAAGACTGAAATGTATTTCCCTGATAGACAATAAAACGTCGTCCAGAATTCAACACATTAACAACACACACTCACCAGTGAAATGAAATACAGACTGATGTCTGGCAACATTCACATTGCAATGTAAATTGTGCTATTGGTGCTGGCTGTATGCTAACAATACCTTTGACACTTTGAATAAAACACATCGTTGCGTAAAAATTTCGATTACCTACCTACTTTCTCAGTTAATGCGTTTTGAAGTGATAACTTTTAGACACATCACGACTTTTACCATAGGCTTATCCATTAGGCTTCGAATTTTAACACTCATGTCAGAGTGCTAGTCTATGTTATAAACTAAGGCGGTAGGAGGATGAATTGATCAGTCTTAAATACTAATCAAAGTTTTTTGTACACAAATGAATTGCGCTTTGTCATAATTAGATGGGGCAATGCGACCCAATTTTTGTCGTTTGACCCAACAAAGTTACTTTTTTGTTTATTGGAACGAAGTTCCTTATCGCACGGTACGAATTTGACGGATGGGGGCTAGGCGAGAATAAGTGTAAGATTTTTCCGTCACGACCCCCTTTCTATAGCGCGAGCGAGATGGAATAATATCTATCTCCCTCGCACTTTTTCTTAACTTGCCACGAAAGAAATATTATTTTAAATGACTTCATTTTAATAGAATTCATTTTTCGCTAGTAGTTCATATTATATTTGTATTTGTTAATCAATTATATAATACGTTAATCAATAATAATATACTACAAAAGGAACTTCGTTCCAACCGAGTGTTCCACGACACTCACGCATGTTTTTTTATTATAATCTTTATATATAAAAATTACGTGTCACGTTATTTGTCCGCGATGAACTCCTAAACTACTGTACTGATTGCAATGAAATTTTGCACACTGTGCATTTTGGCCCAACTTGAGAGATAGCATAGTTTTTATCCCGCTAAATGACCTTCAAAATTTTTTATTGCCAATTTAAGGATTTTTATAGGAAGGGTCGTCGGAAAGAGCAGAACAACGTCTGCCTGGCGAGCTAGTATTACAATAATTGACAATACAATACCTTATAATTATAATTTAAAATTGTTTATAATGGAAGATTATAATAACATATAGGAAACCACTAAGGCTTAAAGTGATGCTATTGTGTTTTTAATCTTCAGTACAGTTCTCGCAGTTCTCGCATTCGAAATTCGACTGTTGGTGTGTTTGTCAAACGTGTTATATACGCGAGACATTTAGTTGAATGAATGTTAACATTTGACGGGCGATATATTCAATTAACCGAGTGATTTAACCATTGGACTTAGTACGTAAAATGTTCGGGCACAATTTCTTGCAATATGCATGTATGCCAGTGTGTTTCATATCACTGTTTTCAATTTTTTTTTCCTTTGGAATAATTTCAATGATAAAATGACAGATTTAATTGAAATAACAAGTGATTTTACATTTAATATTCATTAATAACGTATGGTTAACGTTTTAGATGATAATATTAAATAAAAAATTAAGACTTGTTATTTCTATTATAATCTGATTTAATTTTATATTTTTATACAGGTGTTTAATTTTATAACATTGGTTTTACTCGCCTCGCCACGAAGTGTCACTTAATTGTACAGTGGACCGCATGTTAAGCAAAGTAGAAGTAAAGTGCGCTTTTTGTATTCTGTTGGTCGTTATTGATGTAAATGAATATTTGATATTGTCGATATATTTAATATAAAATGTTAGGTTAATAAATATGACCTAACCACAGTTAAATATATTGATTTTATCTAATTTCAATTGATTGACCAATGACCAGTCACCAGGGTTAGTAACACCTGTGTGGTACACTGTACGAATCAAATACGATTACATTATAGATAGTAAATTTTTTAATGAAATTTTGTGAAATATGAAAAACTGAGTGTTCTTGTACAAAATACTCAATCTATCTATTAAATGTATGAGTGACTGCCAAGTAAATGACTGCGTGAGAGATTCCTGTCAACACATCCAATTTAGCTGTGATTAATGTTATAAAATAAATTCATAACGTTTACAATAGATGTAAAACTTTTTAAAGTTGGTAAACAGCGTAGAAGAGTTATTCTAAATTTTCATGTTAGACTTTAATTAATTGTTTGTGCCGTTTAGGAAATCAAAATATAGATTTCAATTACCTAGTATATTAAATGTGATCTCACAAAGGAAGTATTTGACTGTCTCTAATTTTTATTGAAATAGAATAGCAACTAAAAAATATTAAAAAAATATTTTCGATTATTAAAAATACTAATAATAATGTGTTTTACGTTACTGTAGTATTTTTAATAAAAAAAATCTGTGACATTTATGGAATTAAAAATCGTCAAATACCTCCTTTGTCATGTTGTAGACGTAAGTATGTTTCCGATGTTTGATGTACTTACTTGTATGTATTTGTAAAGTTCCATAGAATCTTGATGTGAGTTAACAATTAATGTTGGATGATATTATCTC